TACGCTGGTAGCAGTTAGAAGCTATGTTGGGTATCAGATAGAAACAGCGTTGGCAGCAGTTAGAAACTGCGTTGGCAGTAGTTAGAAACTGCATTGGCAGTAGTTAGAAGTTGTGTTGGGCAGTAGTTAGAAGCTACGTTAGGTAGAAGATGGAAACTGTGTTGTCAGCAGTTAGAAGCTGTGTTAATAGTAGTTAGAAGCTGCGTTGAGCAACAGTTAGAAGCTACGTTAGGCAGCAGATGGAAACTTCGTTAGCAGCAGTTAAAAGCTACGTTGGGTAGCAGATGGAAACTGCGTTAACAGCAGTTAAAAGATGCATTGGGTAGCAAATGGAAGCTACATTGGTAGCAGTTGAAAGCTGTGTTGGTAGCTTTTGGATGCTGCATTGGGCAGCAGATGGAAACTGCATTAGCAGCATTTAGAAGCTGCATTGGTAGCATCAAGAGCTACGTTTGGCAGCTGTGTTTTGCAGCATTTAAGAGTTATGTTTGGTAGCGTTTAGGAGCTATGCTTGCAACTGGATTGAGGCTGCATTTGCAGCTGGATTGAAGCTACGTTTGTATTGTTTTGACTCTGGAACGAGGCCACTTGCGATTTCATTTCTGGGGTGCAAAGATGAGATGTGCATCTTGGACTGAAGAGATCGTTGACTTGTGATCTCTTTTGTTAGAACGTTAAAAAAATTATCATTTTGTAATTTTTGCTTTAGCTCTTTAAAATGTGAGAGTCTTCAGATTGTAACTCTCGCTATTGATTATGAAGACTCTTGAATCAAAGCTTTCATCGGTTATCGTGAAGGTCGTCAAATTATAACCTTTCTCGATCTGCATGAAAGACTTCTAATTATAGCCTTCATTTGTTAATGTGAAAGTTATTTGATTGTAACCTTCATTGTCGCGTTGTTGATACGGAAGTCATCAAATTGTAACTTCCATCATTGGTGTTTGATGGGGATCAACTATTTACAGTAATTTTTAGATATCCTACACTCATGTTCTAGCCAGATATTGTTAGTAATTTGCCTATCCTTAACAAAGGCACAGTGTAATCTATTAGCAAGGATTTTTGAAATGAACTTGTAAAGGCAGTTACAGCATGATATTGGCCTAAAGTCAGTAGGGGTTTGAGGGCATTGTATCTTAGGAATGAGTGTAATGGAGGTAGAATTGATTGACCCCAATAGCTTTCCATTTTTGAAAAATTCCTGAATAGCTGAAGTGATTTCATCCCCATTACTGGCCATGCAGATTTGTAGAGGGAGACATTAAACCCATCAAGTCCTTGGGCTTTGTCCTCAGACATAGAGAAAATATCTTGTTTAATCTCCTTCTTTGTAACTGGACAAGATAAGTTTGCAGCTTGATTCTGAGAAAGACATGAACCATTTTGAATTGTGTTCAAATCTGGTAATGAGGTGGATATTTCAATGCCCATCAGGTTCTTGTAATAGGAGATGAGTTCCTTAGCAATTTCCTCTCCATCAGTGATTTTTTTTCCCCTATTATTAAAGAGGACCATCACTCTATTATGATACCTACTTTTCTTAATGACTGAGAGGAAAAAACTTGTGCATCTATCTCCCTGAAGACTCCAAGCTATTCTTGATTTTTGTTGATAAAAAGCTAATTCACATTCCAGGAGCTTGTTAAAGGAGGCAAAGCGTTTCTTTTCATGTGTAATAAAATAAGTATTAAGAGGATCAAGTTGAAGAGAATTTTGAACAACCTCCAGATCCCTTTTTTTCTATAAGAACTTGCTCACTAATATTGTAGAAATCCCTTTTATTCAGTTCTTTTAGAGCATTCCTCAGTAGCCTCAATTTAGAACAAACTTTAAACATTGTGTGTCCCTCAATAGATGACTGTCATATAGAGGAAACAGTGGGGAGATAATTTTTCATGCTTGGTCTACATTTTGTATAATTTGAAAGGCTTTTTACCTTGGACACTATTCTCATAAATTTACACAAGAGCAGGAGAATGGTCAGAGAAGCTTGGAGATAAGAATTCAACATGGCTTGTAATGTAGTCATGAATCTAGGAATCATTAATAATAGCTCTGTCCAACCTACTCTAAGCTCTTGTCGTAGAGTATTGCTTATTATTCCAAGTGAAAAAGCAACCAATAGTTGTGAGATGAGAAAGTTGACGGTCTACAATGAAATGATTGAAATCCCTGGTATCAGCATCCTTGAGGATTGAACCTCCTAACTTTTTATCATTGCTAGTCAAAGCATTAAAATCTCACAATAGCCAAGGCATACCCACAACAGTTTGATGAATCTGAGATAATTCAGACCATAAGACTTTTCTGGCTTCTTAGTGATTATAACTATATACTGAAGTAATGAGGCAACTTAATCTTCCATCCAATGATTTAACTGAACAGGTAATTTGCTGAACTGGAAGTTTATTAATCTGGATGCTCAGTATATTTGGATCCCACAAAATAATAATCCTTGCTTTTTCAGTTCCATTTGCATTAGAGAAACAACTCCAGGTGTTGGCAATCCTCTTTGCAACAGATTGAATATTTCCATCCTTAATTTTTGTTTCCAGAAGAGCAAGAAAAGAAACATGATACTGCTATAGAAATTGCTTAACCAAATGCTATTTAGGGAATTTGTTTATTTCCCTAACATTCCAAAAAGACAGGTTCATGTTTAGAGAATTTTAC